ACAGTAACAGTCATGCCTGTTCAAACCCAAGAAAAAAACAAAGCTACGCTGATGTATCTATGACAAGTGACAACCAAATCAAAAATGAACATTCACAAAGCCAATTACGTTAACACGACTATACCAACCTGCTGTACATTGTGGCACTCAACTTTGCCATACACAACTACACAGAGACCTTACATAACACATTATAATTAGCAGAATAGAACCCTCTCAGTCTGAATGTAATTGTACACTGCATTCAAATGTAACAGTAATTGGCTTGGTGGTGTTCAGGTTGTGTTTACCTGCAGCTCCACAAGGACTAATTAAAGTGTATATGCTACATGTTGTGTTTCTTTGTTTCATCATGTATTTCATCCCACTTTGTCATGTTATTGATCAGAGCAGAGATTGTAGTTGCGTTTCCGTTCCCCCTCTGCGCCCTTGGAGACTTTTCCTTGTGATGAAGGTCACTATTAATAACGATGAGAGAAGTCACATGATACTGCTATATTACTGCTTTGTGCATTAACATACAGAAAATATACTTGTTTTTCTGCCTCCTGGTCTGACTGTAACAAATATTCAAAGCAATATAGACTCATTTGCATGTACATTTGCCTTTCAGCGATCGTGACTGAAAAACTGTAATCTTATTTAATTTGATTTCATATGAAACTGGTGAGAAAATCGGAAATGCTTTAGGGAATTGTAAATAAATTACCTCATATATAAGAATAAATGCTAAGATTCCATGCAAGAATAATTTAGCAAATGGCAATATGTGAAAAATGAAGTTACACTGTCCATGTGTACCCTTTACAAATCGCTGGTCTTGTAAAGCAATTGAAAGTGTCTAGCTGAGTTAATTGAAAGTGATCCAATCTCCCATGAGAAATTTGTGCTTCCTCGCAGCACCCAGCGAGAGTTCACGTTGTTGGGTCAGCCCACTTTCACATGTTATAGGTGAATTTCCACCATAAATGAAAAGATTGCAGCACATTCAGAGGGTCAGACAGAGAACAAGCTCCTTCTGTGGGCGGTAAATCCCTGAGCCTTGGCTAACAGCAATGCTCTCTTTATGGGCAAAATGTCTGTCTATAATTTGGATCAGTCAATTGATTTCCTCTGAAAATGTCAAAAGAAAGGGTTAGAAAAGAAATTTAAAAGAAAAAATGAAGACTTTGATTTGGGCAAAATATAGGCTTAGTTAGCGCATAGTGTGTGTTAATTAATGACTGTTGTCTCCGTTGGGGAGGGACATTGGCAGTGCCATTGTCTCAGTGCAGTTGTAGTGATGATTACAGGATAACCCCAATTAATCAAAGACCACAGAGAAGACCACTTTCAACAAGGCCAATTCACATTTGTACCTCCCTCCTTCACAAACTATTCATAATGCATGATCATGTCAGGAGAAGCAATTTAGTTTGAGAGCAAGGAACACACCACAAAGACTTTGTGGTAACATGGTAACAGTACAATGTTGTTGTGTTTTATTCATCATTATCATTAAGTTTTATGAGCAATGGCTGGTTACATTCATTTTTGCAGTTGTAACAATTCACAATTAGTGATCCAATCATAAAAGTAGTATTGGTGATTTTTACATTCCAGAAAGTGTACTTGTAGTCATACCATAGACTGTATGAAGAAGTGGACAAAGGGACTGTGACGTCACCTATGCTCTATGCTCATGCTGAGCTCATGAGGGCAGCAGCAGGAGAAAATCTGGAGTCGAGTTCCATATTCAGAAGACACATTTATTTATGGACATAATAGTGAAATAAATAATGAAATAAAAACACCAGGATCATGTAGAGCAGGTTAATACAAACATGACAATGCTCACTGCAGCAGTTACAGAGAGAGGGGTGACAGCACTGTTGGAGGTGTAAGCGCCCCCATGCACACTTGCTATTTGGAACGCGGCGGCCATTTATACACAGTCTATGAGTCATGCAGGAATTTAATTTTTTCTTCCTATATTCAACCTGAAGATATGCTTACTAATGCACTAATGTCACCAGTCAAAATGTCAAGAAGCAACTGAACATGCTTTTCTCAGGACGATGTGAGCCTGTTTCCTGTTTCTACACCTACCACCAACAGACTAATTAAAATTTGTTTATGCCACTGTAACAATAGTACAAGAGAGTTCAAAATAAAAGTCTTCAGCTCCTAAAAGTGATCTGACTGATTTATTTGACAGGAAGCAAGACAGGTGCTGGATCCCATGAAGATCATAAAACAAGTCATAGCAACCTCAAAGTGTCCCCTATATACTGGCTCCCATTCAAAGGAAATCAATAAAAGTTTCAGCGCACAAGCTGGACTGCACCGCATGTCAATAAAATGTGCATATGGCATCACAGTCCTCCTCATGTTATCAGGACATCTCAAAGTAAACACAAGGACAAATAGAGTGTCAACAATCCAGGCTTATTTCTCAGCTCTACTCATAGATCATGGAGCAGCACTTAACAAGCTAATCTGTGATTCGCCATTGGCCAGGGCTCGGGGTGGCCGTCTGCTGCCAAGATATCATTTACTCATTATAATTTCAATCTGCTTTAATTGTACTCGCCTCGACACTGTGCACAGTTTGATGTCTGGCGAGCGCACAACATTTGAACTCAGCAGAGGCATTAGGCCAAGATTTGATAAGGATGATAATGAAATCTGGTCCTCTGAATGCTCAATAGATGATAATTTTAGATTTTTATTTGGTAATGAAATTGAGTACATAAGGTCACAAGCCAGGATATTCTATAGGTCATTCTACATTTTATTTTTTTAAAGTAATGTTTGGTTGGATTGGACAGTTTAAAGGTCCTATATTACACAAAATATATTCCTGTGAGCTTTAAGACATGTTATAATGCTGTTACATCCTCAAAAACGTACATACAACTGGAGCTGTATTTCGTTTCATTCATTCATTCACAAATATTTGAGCAACCCTCTGTCTACATCTGCAAACCTCAAAATGCTGTTCCATTTTGAGATGAATCACGAATCACTAGTTTTCAAGTTAAAAGTGTATTTTCACATTTAGTTTTGCAGAAAAGAGTTTAAAAACACAGTCAACCACTTTCTGTATTACCACATGGCATGGCAACACAAAGTGGAGTGTTTTCTGTTAAGCCTACATATACAGGGTTTGTGTGTTATACATGTGTGAATGAAACAAAACACAACTGCACATATGTTTTTAATGAGGAAACAAAATTATAACATACTGTAGATCAGAAAATCGCATAACACGGGCTCTTTAATCATGACATGGAGATAAAGAGAGAAAGAGAAATAAACTGCATATTGGACAACTACTACTGTGCAGCTATGTTGCATTAAAAAGAATATAGGCTGGGTGTCTGGCATAAACCCAACTGTGTGAAGAAAATATGTGCAAATCACTGCACTATTAGGAAGAAAAGGTATGAGCCAAAAATGAAAGTTAAATTAGGTTGTGAAGCCTAGTGGTGCTTAAATATTTCAAGTGAGTGATTGATAAGACTTTATGATAAAGCGACACAGGGTAATTAGAAGAAATGCAGACTCAGTGAATGATAAATTTCATAACTAAAAGCCCTGTTCATTTGCATATTCTTAAATTACATCTTCTCTTTCATCAAAGTGAGCATCTAAAGGCCATTATCTACAAGAGGTGCAAAGCCATTCAGTAGGCTACACTCTTGAATTTGGAAGAGGGATTAAGGAGAAAAGACGCCAGAGTGTTTTTGTTATCACCAGTGTAGTGGCAAATAGAAAAAACAAGTTAGATGAGAAGAAAATAAGTTTCTGTGGCCATGGCAGGTGTGTTAGCGGAGATGAATGAGTAGCATGGTCCAGCACTGATCATAGCCCTAAGTGTTAGCAACTACAACAAAAAGAGAGCATTCATATACTAAGGTTATATGGGGTAACTCTCTCAATCTTTGATAAGCTAAACAAATAACTGATTTACATAAGAGCCTGCCTTGAATAAAAAGAGAATTTGCCAATTCTCAATTTTGGTTTGGCTTTGTTAGGATATGTAATCAAACCATCTGAAGGAGAAATAGAGAGCCATTGCAAACAGGATTCATTTTGCTTTGTTCAAAGCCGTTCAGTGGAACCACCTGCCCTATTTTCTCCATCCCCACCTATAAATGATCACATGTAAAATGATTATTATATTATTGCATTTGTGAAATTATCCCTGTAAAAAGGAAAAAATTATTTTATTCATTATGCGTCTCCGGAAGCCCGCTGAGCTGAGCTGCTTGTGCTGACTGGCAGATTGGCTGACAAAGGCTATTATTATCAAATAATCATCTGGAGGATTTGATGCAAAAAACACGGTCAAAACAAACAGAAAATGTTGACAAAATCTGATTGAAACATTATGTATTTTGTGCAGACCACCCATATCCCTTATTGTCCAAAGATCCAAACATTATATGGATTGTTACATTTTTCCCCGTTATTGCCTAATTAGTCACAGGAGCAAGTACAGAGCAATGATGTTTTTTATCAAAGCCTATGCCCGTGCCTACGTCCCTTTAGTCATAAACATTTTAATCTCGTGGCTCTGAAAAGAAAAGATAAACTTAAAAACGTTTAACGATAACATTTCAAACTTATGACTAATTTGCAAATATGCGTTTTGAGTCACCGCCTACTTGTGCAACGGAGGTAAAGACGCATGGTTTGTTTGTTTGGCCGCAGATAAGTGATGTGTCAAGTCCCACTTTTGATGGCTAACCTGTGCGCGCCAGGGACGCCCGGAGCAGCGGCGGTGTGCAGTCAGTCAGTCCGCGCTCCTCTCCCATTGGTTGGCTCTAGATGCTCTCTATCTCCCGTGTTTCTCCGTCTTCATTCGCGAGTGGACTCATCTAAGGTGCACTACTACACTATGGAGCTACACGCGGACTCTTCACCTGTAGATGGACAAAGATGAAGCTACATTTTTCTTTCCAAATGCGCTTTTAAAGTTTAGCCTTGCATCGTTTCATCTTTGTGAGGAGATAACTTGCAGCCAGATCCGGGGCTCGCTTTACGCGCTTCTCTCGCCGTCTCCTCGGGTTTAAAAGCGGGATACTGCAGCCTGCATGGAGGGATATTGGCATGGCTTGCACCAGGAGAACCAAAACTTTGGTGTCCACTTGCGTGATCCTGAGTGGCATGACCAACATCGTTTGCTTGCTGTATGTCGGATGGGTTACTAATTACATTGCTAACATTTACATCAAAGTGCCCATGCCTTTGCCGGATAGAAAGTTTGAGGGGGACAAACGAGGAGACACGCTTCGGATTATTGAAAGACTGGACCGGCTGGAGAACGTGGTGAACCAGCATATTCAAGGTATAAACCACACATGAATTGATAATATATCCATGTCGCTTAAATGAGCATTGCATGTTGTGTAGCCTGCGCTGGAAAATGTTCAACCATGCTTCACTTTGTGCACTGTTTCTCTTGTTCATTTGTTCATCTTTCTTTATACCATTGATAAAATGCTAATTAATCTTTAAAAGGGGGTAATTTTACTCCTCTACTGAAAAGACAGTCTGAATGATTGAACGATTAAACGCAGACCATGCTTAGTCTTCACACAAGGAAGAGGTCAGACTCGTATCATCTAACATTTCTGCTCCAGGGAGATAAAGATGACATTACTCTTTTGGTCTACTCCTTTTGTGGCGTCCATAAAAGCAGTCATTTCCTCATATTCTGAGATATAATTGCACCTTATTGTGCACTTTCCAACAACTAAAACCTTTTTTTAATATCTTAATCAATATCTGAATAAAAGTGTCATAACAAAATTATGTGCCTGCAGGACTTGTATCTTGAGGCTAAGTTAATTAATCTGAAAAATTGTATTTGAAAAAAAAATCTGTCACTTGCTTTGTAAGAATGCTTGGAATTTTCTCTCTCCCAAATTCTATTTGAACCCTCACATAACTTCTAGCATTCAGTTTCTTTTATGCTTGATCACACTCAGTTAATTTGCTTCCACTGTGTGTTTCTAAAGGAGCTATTCTCGTCATTACTCTGAGGACAGAGGAGGGAGGGAGAGGAGGGAGTCGGGGGTCATTTTGGGCTGGTCCTGGTTTGAAATGGCACAGCGCTGGTGCAGAAATGAAGCGCACACAGGGAGCTATACACAGGCTGTCTGAAGCAGTGGGCTGTGCGCTAAGCCTGGGTAAACATTCCTCCTGGAGGGAAGTCTCCATTTCACTTTGGCACCTAATACCTTCTCCGTAAGGGGCGGAGCATCGTCCAGGTGCCTCTGCCTGTAGGGAACACGCAGTCCCACATCAGAGACTACGGATATTTTCCATTCTTGGGTTCACAAATCAACGTTATCAACGATATGTCCAGTGTGAGCATGTTGGTTTTATGTTTAGTTTTTTTGCTTTAAACTTTTATGATGATGATGATGACGACAGTTTGACAATGTGGGTTACATTGTTGACAGCTCTTGCTCTTGGTTTAAAAAAGAGTGGAGGTTATCCTAGAGTTGTCACGAATACTGAAATTTCAAACTCGATTTCAGTACTAAGGAGTAGAATCGATAGTATTGATTCTGATATCACAATGAAAAAAAAAAACAACATAGTCAAAATGTCATTTAACATTTAAATAATACATTTTATATTATTGTATGGTCTTATATCTGTGTAATCCCGCAGTCATCCAGGTATGTTCCATAGTGGGCCATGGCCGTTAACTAGTCTGGTGTATGTTTTCTGGATCTGATACAACTCAAGATCATTCTAAGGCAATTCAGGAAAGGTCTATTTCTGTCCTGTGGATGTGACTTTTTTAGTAGCGATACCAGCTCAAATAAGTATCAGGTTTCAGTTCCAGTTTTAGTATTGAATCTCTTTTCAATACATTCTGATTTTCAGTACTAACAACAACAACAGGGCAAGAGCATGTTTTTTTTTTCTTCTTTTTTTTGCTAATATTGTATTTTCCTAAGAAATATCTGAAATTGTTGTAATGTAATGAAAATGTTGAACTTTGTCATTTTATTTGTGACATTGACGCAGTCTGGTGTATAAAATTCTCCATATTAACAGTAGTGATTTTACTTGCCCACTACATCTCCATTAAATATTATAGACCTATAGAAGGTTGAGCTGCCAAACTCAGCAAACAGGGATGCATAAAACTAAAAAAGAGGGAGATCACTCACTGGATCTTAATATTGAAAATGTATCACAGCAGACAGCTCAATCAGTGCGGATAATTTATGGCATTGGAGTATAGCTGGACTGGGGGCACGTAGTGTATTTACATCCAGTATGTCAAATTGCATTAGGTCCTATGGCAGATCAGAATCATATAAACAGTATTTACATTTATTTATTATCCAATGAACCGTGGCACATGAAACATCCTTTGTGACAGCTTCAGAGTGCTTTTGTGGTTTCGCTTCATGATTCTGCAGCAAGGAATATAATCAGACGATATAGAAAAACAATATAGCATCATTTGTATTAGCTATTCTGTTAAAAAACATAAACAATTATATTTTAAATTAACTTTTTTGTAAAATGGGAAATTATAATTTTTGTTAGACACATGGCAAAACCACTGGATGGGTGTAGTTGCTAATGTAAGCAAATGTAGATTTTGAGCTTTCAGTCCTGAGATTGAAAGTCCTAAATTATACCAAACTGACTCTTGTGATCTTTGAGCCATGTTATTATGCTGTTACCTCATCAAAAACATACTCGGAGTTGTGTTTTGTTTCATTCATTCATGTTTGTGTAACCCTGCATTATTGGTCTATCCGCATTTCTAAAGCTTAAAACACTTTGTTCCACTTTGTGATGTCATGAAATTGTAGTTTTCAAGTTAACAGATTCCTTTTACCTTTAGTTCTGTAGACATTGGCAATTCCAGGGTGTAAATCATCTATGCCAGTCTTCTAATGAAGGTATATGGAGTTTAAAAACACAGTGGACCACATGACATCACTAGGTGGAACAGAATGTTTTTAGTGTGAGAGAAGAGCTCAGCCTAAATATGCAGCGGTTGTGTGTTAAACATGGGTGAATGAAACAAAACTCTGGGTATGTTTCTGATAAGGAAACAACATTATAACATAGATCAGAAAATAGCACAACATTGGGCCTTTAACAACTCTTGCTTCTTGGTATATTAATTTGTGAAAAAAAAAAAAATATATATATATATATAAAAGCCATTTGATGGATCCAGAATGGCACTGTCTGCTTCAATATCTGTGCTGGCCGCTCTGCTTGACATGAGATGGCAAAATTTGTGATGTATGAAATTGTTATATACTTTTCATTTCACAAAATATATCAAAACATCCAGTTTCTTATCCCCCACGGTAAGATAACATTGCATAAAATCATTGATATTGTCTAAATATACTCGTGCAAATGCGTTTTCGTACAATAGAGAAGTCCATTTACTGCCTCTAAGTGGCCAGAGGCATCAACAGACACTGAGCTGCAGGCAAAGTCACTGTCATGATGAGTGCTCTTGTTTCAGTATTATGCTTCCTACATTATACTCATAGTCAAGCACTCTTAAAGCCTCATATCTATACAGGATAAGACCACATGAGGTCAAACTAAGCTCCCACATATCAAGGCAGATCTGCACTGTCTGTAATGGAGGAGATGAGACAGAAATACACTGGACACTGTTACTATGTGATGTGGAGTTAAGTGGTCTGTTACCAGGACAATCAACATGGCAACACAGTGGGAGCTGGCTGAACCGGACTAAGTACTGACAGTGAGCCCATGAGGATTCAGTGAAAGCATTGGACAGAGCAGGTTCACACTCGCCCACAAACGTACAGTACTCCTCTTTTCAAGTATGGGTGTCAAGTTTCCAAAAGTCTGAGCATAAAACTGTGAAAGTAGTGTGTATTGTGAAAAACATATAAGGGGTAAGATGGCTTTTCAATCTATGAATTTGGGACTGGTCTTGATCAGCATTTTATATAAAAAAGAATATTGAATTATATTTTGATTGGGGATGATAGTGGTGCATAAGATGTGTTCATTCTAGTGCTGCTTTGTGCAAACACAGAATGGAGCTTGTTACACAATTTTATTTGTAGACAAGCTTTATTGATCTGCAAGGGAAATTACTTGGACGAAGTAGCTCAAATACAATATAAAAATATATTCTTCATAACAAAGAGCAACGGTGATTATGATAGAAACACATAGAAAACTGAATTGAATCTGAATATTTGCACAAGCTGTTTTGATTTGTGATTGAATTTGTGGCTTCTTTTAATCAGGCCTGTCTTTCTCAAGTGTCTTCTCTAGGACAATAATGTGATCAGGTGGGATACAAAGTGGAAACAGTTCCTAGATAATGACTTTAATCATAGCATCACAGCCACACCAAACCACTATTGTTGACTATTGGAAAAGCCTTTTGGGAGTTGTTGCTTTCTCTACCGCAGCAGAAGGATAATGGATTACATTGGTAGTCTTCCCCTGTAAAAGTCAGGTGGTCACTATTGGCCTTTAAGGTTAGTGCAGTGTGAGAGATTTCTTTGCTAAACATCAATCTAAAAAAGAGACAAAAATGAACAAAATATGGCATTACAGTGTAGACACAAGAGTCATATGAGAACCCTTTTAAAGCAGTGTATAATGGCCCAAGCATGTGGTTTTAAAGCTTACAACATCACATCTGAGCATTGTGATCAGCAGTAATCCCTTCTCATTGACCTCTGACAGTGAGTATTATGGGATTGCTGTGTTGCCTGATTGAGCGGACCATAAGGCCTCACAAAGCTAGTCATTAACAAATTGCTGATTTGGCTGTAAATGGTTGTGACAGTTCCCAAGATGGCTGCAAGCAAATCCACTTGTCAAGTCGATTCAACAGCTTCAGTAAATCAGCATTTCTGGTGATGCTCAGAGGACAGATACAGTCAACTCTTTATCTTCTGTAATTTCCCTGCATGATAACCAACGCAACATAGAAAGCTCAGAGAGAAAGAATGTTACGCATCTGTGCTTGTGCGTATTTGCAGGCTTGTGTGTTCCAACTGTCAACAATGTGACACCTATTTTTCAATAATCTGATGAATTTTGATGTTGTTTTGTCAGGCTGAGTAATGTGACAAAAATATTTATCACTTTATTTTTTCAAATCAATCAAATAATTTTAATTTATTTTGTTGAATTTAAAATGCTAATTTCCTGAACATAAAAAAAAACAAACAATTAATCAGTACAAAAACAAAACAAAATTATGAATTGTTTTGCTTCAGACTCCAAACCACATGCCTTTACTGACTGTTGACTTCTCTATTAAAGGCCCTGTATTACGCAAAATTGACTCTT